GGCGCCTGTAGTCCCAGCTACCTGGGAGGCTGAGGCAAGAGAATCACTTGAACCCAAGAGTTTGAGGTTGCTGTGAGCTGAGATGCCACCGCACTCTACTAAGGGTGACCACATGAGACTCTGTCTCAAAAAAAAAAAAAAAAAGTCTCACTCTGTTGTCCCAGGCACAGCCTCCCAAGTAGCTGGGACTACAGGTGCCTAACACAACGGCCAGGCTAATTTTTCTATTTTTAGTAGAGAGGGGGTCTAGCTCTTGCTCAGGCTGGTCTGGACCTCCTGAGCTCAGGTGACCCCCCTGGCCTTGGCCTCTCAGAGTGCTGGGATTATAGGCATGAGCCACCTTGCCCAGTCAACATTGTTAATTCTCAACCTATCTCGAGTTAAATTGGAAGTCCAGTGAGTTTCCAGTGTGTTAGCTTAGCTTACCTCTAGTTTGAAGTCTAGCTAGTCCTGAATGTTACCTGGTTTATCTCTTGTTAGAAGTATGGCTAAGGGTAGGTGGGTGAATGTGTTTTTGTGTGTTAACTTGGCCTATCTAGTTAGGTTGGAAGGTTGGCTAGTCAGTATATGGTTAGCTCAGCCCACCTTTAGTTAGGTTACAAGCCCAGTTCATGTGTGTGTGTGAGAGAGAGAGAGAGAGAGAATTCAGCCTGTTTACTGATCCAGCTAGTCTGCATTGTTAACTTACAACCTATCTCCTGTTGGGTTACAAGGCCAGCAACTACCATGTTTCCCCTGGTACTGTTATACTAAAACAGTATAAGACACTGTTTTATATTTATTTTTTTCTCAAGAAGACACACTAGGGCTTATTTTCAGGGGATGTCTTATTTTTATTAAGTATAATACAATAATCTAAATTTATTCAAATACAGTTAAGTCATCTTCTTCTGGAACCTGATAGGGAGAGATAACCTTGTTGGTGAGGCTGGCGCTAGTGATGCGTGAACTCCTTTCCCCTATCTGTTCACACGTGCGCAATAGGATGCCTTTGACTGTGGTTACCCACGCACACACGCGCACACGCGCAAGTGCGAGTGGCTAGGAGAAAGGAGCTGTGGCAGATAAAAGGTATTCCAGTCTTCCTTACCACTTAGTGCATTTTCAGCACAGAATTGCACGGCGTACATCACTACGTCTTCTTATGGGGTAGGGCTTATATTTAACAAATGCATAGAAATCCTGCTAGGGCTTATTTTTTGGGTAGGTCTTATTTTCAGGGAAACACAGTACTATGCATGTTGTGACCTTGGCCTATCTTCAGTTATAAGTTCAGATAGTTGTGTATTAAGTTAGTCTGTCTCCAATTATTTTGGAAGTCCCGTGAGTCATGTCTGATAACTTGGCCCATCTCCTATTAGATTCAAAGGATGGCTAGAAGTGTGTGTGTAGGGGGGTGGTGGTGATGTGGTGTATGTGTTACTGGCCTATCTCCAGATTCAATAAACATCCCGGTGAATGTTCCTGCAAACATTCCTGCAGATTTTGTGTGTTAAATCACCCTGTGTATTTCCTGTTAGGGTAGAAGCCTGGCTGGTTACATGTGACAAATCCAGCCAGCATGGTGCGTTATTAACTCAGCTTAAGTGAAATCAACACTGGGAATTCCCAACCCTAAAATTCATGAGGGGTGCTCTGGAAGTTAGTTTATCTAGCAGTCACCAGCATTAATGGCCCATTTGCCCTGCACTTTGAAACAAGTGTCCCAACAATACAAAATAGACTGATGGTGCTCATTTAATAATTATTTTACCAGATGGTGACATACTATATGTGTTGTTCTACAATCTGTCTTAGATTAAACCTAACTGATGCAACTGCATAAATGATCACAAGAGACATGGACTGACAGTACAAGCTACAAGAGGTGAGGCTAACTATAGGTGCAGGATAGCCCTGAGCACTTCTCGCAGAATCCTTTTATTGAGAAAATACATAATGGGTGGAAAGGTAACTAAGCAAAGACATGCAGGGGCTGCATGCTCAGGGACTATGTGTTTTAGAGGCTACCTGCTCAAGAAAATGATCTCATATGGGTAAACAAAAGGTGGTAAAAAGTTAGGTACTCAAGAAAATGATTTCCAAAAAGATTACATGCAATTTCCTTCATTAATTCTTCAAGGAACTGCCATAAAATGCTTAATGCTTAACAGGACCCATCCTGGCTTCTCCAAGATTACTGAGTTACTTGGTAGCTTGCCTTCCAAGTCACAAGAGATTTCGATGCTTGCCAGGAAATTGTCTTGTTCTCAGCAATTCCTCAGATGAGTTCTGAAATTGGTGACTGTTATAGCAGGTATGATGTTCAATCCTCTATACCTAACAATTTTTAGGACACATGAGAACTAGCTGATTTATCTTAATGATTTTATAGTTTTCCCTTTGGGGATATTAAGGCTGTTGCCAACTGCTTTATTAGGAAGGGGCACTGGGAGTCTCTTAAAAAGCATTAATAATGAACATCCTAATCTGATGTAGTATTTTAACAAATATTTAATAACTACTTAATGTTCAGGCATGTGGAAACTTTGGGTATAAGGACAAAATAAAAATTAAAAATAAGAGCTTAATTCTGCCTTTTGAAATTAAGGTAATATATTTTCTCTCCCTTTCTTTCAGAATGTTTTTCCTCTATTCTTTTGAAATATCTTTAAATCTTTTTAAAGGTTAAACAAACCTCTTTTCAGTCTCATACCTAAGGGTTACATCCTCAAGGACCTGGCAGCTATCTCTGAAGTGTAACTATAGAAGAGGAAAAAATTTTTCCTCTACCCTCTTATGTTTTGTAACTAGGATCTGCACATTAAACTGACGAAAGACAGATTAATAGGAGAAAGGCATACAAATTTGACTGATGTTAATATTTTTATGTGTATGGGGCTTGATAGGAAATCTTAACCCCAAAGTGGGGGTGGGGGAAGGTTTTGGGAGGTGATTAGGTCAGGAGAGTGGAGCCCTCTTGGATGGGATCCATGCCCTTCAAAGAGACACATCACAGAATTCAGGGAAACACTTGACTTACATTTACAAGTATATAATACAGGATACTATAAAGGAACTGCCAGATGAAGCAGTTCCTAAGGCAAGGTCCAGAAGGATTCCCAGAGCAGGAACTTCTATCCCTATGGAGTTGGGGCACTTCAATATGTTCATCAACCCAGAAACTCATCAGATCTTTTTGTTTAAGGCTCTTTGTAGAGTATAACCTCTGGTCCCCTCTCCCCTTCCTGGTGCAGCAGGGTGTAGTGTGAAAAGTTCCAACCCTCTTATCACTTGGTCTTTCTGTAACCAGCCCTCTCCTATCTAGGGTCTCCACCTGAGTCACCTCAGTAGCTTAAGCTCTGGTGTGATGGGAAGAGGTGCCTTATGAATAACAAAAGACACTCCTCTCTCTCAGGAAATTCTGAGAGTTTCAGAAAAGCTGTGTCTGGGGACAGAAACCAAATCTCTTTATTAAACTATGTCATCCAAAAAACCACTAAGATAGTGAAGTAATGGAAGAGAGAGTTTTATTGGTGATATAGATGGGCTCAAAGATTCTTTGATTTATAATTGGTTCACGAAATAAAGCTTTGGCTTGGCACCTGTGGTTCAAGCAGCTAAGGTGCCAGCCACATACACCTGAGCTGGTGGTTTCAAATCCAGCCCAGGCCTGCCAAACAACAATGACAGCTGCAACCAAAAAAGAAAAAAACAGCCAGGTGTTGTGGTGGGTGCCTGTAGTCCCAGCTACTTGGGAGGAGGAGGCAAGAGAATCGCTTGAGCCCAGAAGTTGGGGGTTGCTGTGAGCTGTGATGCCACAGGACTCTACCCTAGGCAACAGCTTGAGGCTCTGTCTCAAAAAAAAGAAAAAGAAAAGAAAAGATAAAAGAAAGCTTTGTCTAAAGCAGTCATTCTCAACCTTCCTAATTGCCCCATTGTTACAAATGGAATAAAGGGGTCGCTGTGGATTGAGAACCCCTGGTCTAAAGGCTTAGAATGTTTTAAATTATAGAAAGGAAGTCTGGCTCGG